TGAGAGCGCATGGATGGCGAGACCCTCGCCTCCCGCCCGAGTCCCCGAAGACCCCACGGCCCCTCGGCCGCTTCCACACCACACCCAGCGCTGCTCTCCCCGCCAGGAGTTACACAGCTCCACCAGGACAGTTTTCAAAGGAGACGGGAGGAGGGAAGGATTGTTCACAACGTCCTCGTGGATCCAAGGTGTGTGCGTGACCCGGGGAGGTGGTGCAGGCGGAGGACCCGGCACCAGGCCCCATGTCCGGGGCGATGTCCCCACTGAAGGGGACAGAGAGGCCAGGGGTCCTTCTGGGTGAAGGCCAGAGAAGAACAAAAGACCCTGGTTTCACGGGAGCGGAGGGTCACGCAGGGGGCTCTGGGCACAGGGGGGCTCCGGGCACAGGGGGGCTCCGGGCACAGGTGAGGCGTCGGTGGGAGCCCATCGCTCCCTCAGAAGGTCTTCCCCTTGCAGGAAGGGGCGGGAAGGGACGGGCAGGAAGGAGGGGGTAGAGAACGTGCTTCCAGTCTGGGAGAGGGAGCGGGTTCTGACGCGGGGAAAGTGGGTCACAGGAAACAGCTCTGCACACGGCCCTGGAACATCAAAGGTGACGCTAAGCAGGGCCAGGACTCCACGGCCGCAATCAGGGAGAAACGCTCCCGGCCCCGCCCAGGCTCCGGTCCAACAGCCCGTCCAAGGGGCTCGTTACGCATCAAGCCCTGAGGTTAACCAGGACCCCGAGCCAGGAGGCGGGGTCCCGGCAGACACAGGGCCGGCCGCCAGCTCTCTGAGCCAGGGCCTGTGGTCACAGGGCCCCAGATTCAAACCCCACTTTGCCACCTGCTGGGGTGTGGCTGGGAGCAAGTCCGCTCACCTTGCCAAGGCCCAGGTTCCCCGTCTGTAATGTGGCGAGGGCAGCAGTGCCCACCTCCGGGGGGCGCTGAGGACTGTGAGGCTGAGGACTCTGTGAAGGCGGCGAGGGTACACAGGTGCTCTGGAAGTGGGTGCAAACCGAGGAATGAGCGATGAAGAGGAAGGTGAGGTTCTCATCCCAGGGAGAACCACGGAAGGCTTCCTGGAGGAGGCAGCCATGAAAGATGCCAAGAATGCAGAGAAGGGACATGGGACTCTGCAAAGCATCTGGATGGCCTGTCAGAGCCGGACTCCGGGCGCCGAACGCCAGGCCGCATCGACGCTGAGCCGCAGGCGGGCTGCTGCCCCCCGAGCCTGGCTGCTCCGAGGGGCCCAAGGGGAGGAGCTTCCAGCCTAAACCTGATTATCGTCCTCTGAGGTCAGTCCAACGGCTGGAAGGAGGGGCCTCCTGAGCCCGGCTTTTCCCCAAGGACCCCTCGCCGCCAGTCGAGTGGCTTTCCATTCGCCCAGGAATGCTTGGGTTTTCACAGAACCGGTCCACTCGCCAGACGGGAAACACTTCAAAGCCGTGAAACCCCAGCTGTCCTGAGTCACGGACAAGGATCGGATGCCTGGTGGGTGCGCAGCGGGCGTGGGCGTTCAGACGGACTGGGCTGCAAGCCGAGCTGGGGACCAATTGCAAGCATTTGCCATCGTTTTGCGATGAAGGCCTCGTCCACAGCCAAGCACGAGGAGGTCAGTGCCCACGCATTCCTACCGCGGAGCTCACCTCCCAGCGGTGATGCGTGTGGTCATGGGCCACGCTGTGGGCACGGGACTGGGAATGCCAGGGGGGTCAGAGAGGAGGGAGGGCGGGGCGGGCGAGAGCCAGGGAGAGCATTCCGTAGGACAAGTGCCCGCTGGGAACGGCCACTCCTCCCTCGGGCCACGGTGGCAGGACACAGTCACCAGATCTTAGGGGTTTTCAAATAAAGCTGGAAGTTTGGGGTTTCGTGTAGAATCTCCTAGTTTATAAATGTAAGCCAATGATTCGAATTCTGTGGACCTACTAACATTTCCTGAGCACCTACTATGTGCCAGACACGCTCCATACTTCTCATTCATCTCATCTCCTAACCAGTCTCTGAGGGAGCGGCTGGGTCCAGGCTGGGCTGGCATCTGTTAGAGGGGAAGGCACCTGAGACGCACCACCAGCGAGCCTTGGAGTCTGAACCTGGTTCGACCTGATCTTGCATTTCACTGGCCCCAGTTCAGCCTTAATCAACTTCAAGCCTCAGCTCACTGGCCACCTCCTCCAGGAAGCCCTCCTGGGTGCTCCACATCCACCTCAGATGCCTTTCTGCCCAGCTCAAGCCACAGCTCAGCCCTGTCACTATCTCTTTCCTGGACCACCTGCCCACATCCGTGCTAACAGCTCCTGCACACAGTGGGTCTTTCCATGCACTCCAGGACGAAGGGCTGAGAACCTGGAGCCAGTCTGCGGGTTTCAGGTGGCAGCTTGGCCACGGACGAGCTGGGTGATGCCACAGGCACCCACCCGCTCTGTGCCTCAGTTTCCACTGAAAGAGATGCGCAATCTGAAGTCCTGCTGGCGTGCCGCAGCAGCCGGTACATGCTGGCCCTCGGCGTCTGCGGAGGAGATGAATACCTGTGTGTTTCCAGATCTCTCTCTCTCTCTCTCCATCACTCCACCCAAAGCCCGGGCAAGGCTGAAACCAGAGCACGGCTCCCAGCTGGGATTCCAGCCGCACAGAAAGGAAGAAAGAGGCTCCAAAACCCGAAAGCCTGGCCACCGGAAAGCGTCCCCGCAGAGCTGCCCAGCTGCCCGGGCCAAGCACAAGGCTCCAGCTTTGAGTTTCTGTGTTTAATCTTTTTCTTTGTGTGGGTTTCACTCCTTCGTTTATTTATACTCAGGTTCTTTCCAAAGGAAAGCTTTTAGCAGCTTCCTTTTCTTCTTCCTTCTGACGTTATTAGGAAAGCGGGCTGGCTCTAGAAGCACCGAGGCCTCGCTCCAGGGGCGCCGGGCAGGGAAGGGGGTCATGACACACCCGCGAAGAGGGGGAGCAGGGAGCTGTGGGGGTTCCGCGAGGATGAAGAGGCCTCATGGGGGAGCCTGGCGCGGAGGCCGGAGCTGTGACAGCACTGTGCTCTGACATTTTCCTAAGTGTGTCATTTCAACACAGCGGCGACTCTTTGTCACCCACGGGGCTTATCGCCACGCACGGCGTCCCGGTTTTCACGGGAACAAAAGCTCAGGGAGGTGCAGAGGCCGGCGGGCCCAGGACCGAAGAGAAAACGCCAGCAGATG